CCTCACTTGGCTCTTGCCCTCCGGCCGAGAAGCATGGGTCTGCGGGCGTTCGTCTGCGCCTTCTTGCTTGCCGCCTGCTGTTGCAGCCGCCGGGCCGCTGGTGAGTAAGTTTGCTGGCGGTGCCCGCCCCCCGCCCCCCACTCCCAGGTCCCGGGCCGCGGGTCTTCGGCTGAACCGGCCGAGGGGCAGAGAGGGCATCTCGCGTTGGCCGGGTTTTGCGCTTCGCTGTGCGCTCCTCGTCTGGTCCCTGGCACCCGGGAGCCTAAAGCGCTTGCAACTCTTTGCATCCAGTTTGCAAAGCTTCTGTTCTCTGTATGCCGAGAGCAGGAGTGGAAAGGCGGGGAGGAGATTGCTGCCTGGAGCGGGAAGGCGTGGAGCCGACCTTCCCGGGGCTTGGGGGAGAGCTTTTCCTCAGGTGCTTTCTTGGCGGGGCGGGGGGGGGGGGCGCATTTGGAGTCGTGATGGGAGGCGCGGCCAGGGCGCTTCCCCAAATCCTGGACTCCGCGCCCGCCTGTTGCTGGGAAATGGCAGCTTTCTTAACTGGAGGGGTGCGCCGACCCCTCCCCCCTCGGCCTGGGCTTGGAGCCAGGCTGGAGGTGAGCAGGGGGAGGGATGGCGGCTCCCATAGAGCTGGGCGTTGGCAGGGTTTGGGACACGGTGTGGGTCGCCTCTCGCCTACCCAGTGGACGGGATCACAGGTGGCAGAGACGAGACCTTGAGGATCCCTAGTGCAGAAGCGCCCAAACTTATACCTTCCGGAATGGGGGCCACCCTCAGTGAGGAGAGTGCCTCTGCTGCTGAGGAGTCCACTCCCACCCCTCCACCAACTTGCTTACTGGCCAGGGCTCCCGGGTTCACGCTGCCCTTGTATGGCCCGCAGTGGTGTCGCGTGTTTCTCTTGGTTCCCTGTCCCCGGTCTCAGCCGCTATCCGGCTGCAGAAGGGGAGGGCAAGGCAGTACCCAGCTGACTGGCCTCATGCCCAGAGTCGGCAGCGTCCCTGGGGTGCCCTGGAGTCCTGCCTCCCAAACTGACTTTATTTCTGGGGAAAGGACTCAACTGCACTCCACAGCAGCAGCAGGTCCGGCCCCACCCTGCCCTGCTTTTAGCTCTGGGATCCCAAGTCCAGGAGCTGAGGCTTTGCCTCTGGGTCGAAGACCATCTGCCCTCCCGGCGTGGGAGCCAACTCGGGGCAACAAGCGAGGCATCCCAGAGTCCAGCCAGATGGCGTTGGGTGACATCACCTCCTCACAGGGCGGGCAGCACGCTGGCACCACTGACGTCACTCCTGCCCACTGCCTGGCCCTTGCCTTGACCCCTGGGGGAGACTCTGACCCCTCTAGACTCACGAGACTCCCAGGATGGAGTCTGCAAGTATGGGCCGTGCCTGGAGGTGCTGCTTAGTTAAGGAGTCTGAGATGGGAGATTTGACCCACCTGAAGGTGGGGGTGTGCGGAGGAGGGGTTTTTGGGGGGAGGGAGCAAAGGGTAGACTTAGAGAAGTCTTCCCTTGGGTGTGGGGACACAAAGCGGCCTGTGTGCCCCAGCCTGGCACATGCCTTGCATTCCCACTCTGTGAGCTCACTCAGAGAAGAGGGGCCTGGAAGGAAAGGGGCCTTCCTCTTGGCCTCAAGCCTGGCTTGCCCCTCTGTCCGGGCTCTTTCGGGAGGTGACCATCTCTAACTCCTTGAACTGGGAACAGGCTGGCCAGTGGTGTGGGAGGGGGAGGTTGAGGGTTAGGAGAGGACAGGGCCCACTTCAGAGCCTTGAAGTGGCGGAGGAAGAACAGCTGTGGCTAGAGGGTGTGAGGGGAAGGAGAGGAAGGGCAGCTGGAGCTGACACACTGCCGGGGGCTCCCTCCTCCCTCGTCCAGGTGTGCCAGGAGAGGCCCAGCAGCCCGAGCCGGAGGTGGTGGAGGTGGAGGTGGGCGGCACGGCCCTTCTGAAATGCAGCCTCTCCCACTCCCAGGGCAACTCCAGCTACGTGGACTGGTTTTCTGTGAGTGCTTGGGCCCCAGAGTGGGCAGCAGGGGTGGGGGCTCACCTTGTCTCACAGCCCCTCACCGCCTCTCTCCCCGCTCATCTCAGGTCCACAAGGAGAAGCCCACACTCATCTTCCGTGTGCGCCAAGGCCAGGGCCAGAGCGAACCTGGCGAGTACCAGCACCGCCTCAGCCTCCAGGACAAAGGGACCACTCTGGCCCTGACACATGTCACCCCCCATGACGAACGCATCTTCCTGTGCCGTGGCAAACGCCCTCGGGCCCAGGAGCACCGCCTCCAGCTGCGTGTCTACAGTGGGTGCTCTGCCGGCCGTGGGCTGTGGGGGCGTGGAAGCTGCAGGAAGCGGTGTCCCATGTTGTCCTCATTTCTGTCCCCATAGAAGCTCCAGAGGAGCCAAGCATCCAGGTCAATGGGGTGGGCATTTCTGTGACCAGCGAGGAGCCCAAGGAGGTAAGCTACCCAGGGTGCTGACTGCAGCGGGAGCTAGGGTAGGATTTGCCAGTCTCAGCGGCAGGGAGACTTACACCCCTCCTTCCCTAGGTTGCTACCTGTGTGGGGAGGAACGGGTACCCCATCCCCCAAGTCGTCTGGTACAAGAATAACCATCCCCTGAAGGAGAAGAAGAACTGTGAGTAGCCGCTCGGCCCTGAAAGCCGTGCTCGTTGGGCCCACGGACACACTTGTGTTTTAGTGTTCCTGTTTTTGTTTGCATACACAAGTGATGCCTGAAAAGTATCTTCAGAAGGATTTCAACTGGATAGAAAATGTGGAGAGAAAATTCTCAGGTTCCTTCCCAGAAATATGCTTTGCTGTTTGTTCAGGTGTATTCGTTCTAGCCTACTTGTACATAGAGGTTTTCCTCACGACGGGAAGAGGTAAAGCATTCTCACCTGGTATGATTTGGTATGTGACTTCTTGGATCTGGAAAATTCATGCAATTACCATGAATTTATATGAAAAAAAATCTTGAGCATTCTGAGACCCAAAATATAACCATACCAAAGGAGGAATATTGTTCTTTTGGATAGCAGGATACTTACTCATACAAGTAAATCTATCTGGGTATATACAGACTCTTGTTTTATTTATCTAATTCAGGGCTTCTCAACCAGAGTGATTGTGTTCCTCCTTTGGGAGAGTGGACGATGTCTGGCTATAGTTTGGGTTACCATGGACGGGTGGGGTGCGACTGCATCCCTGGATAGAAGCCACTAGGCATCCTACAGTGCGCAGTCAGCCTCACCCCAAAGAGTGGTCTGGCTCCCAATATTGGCGGTGCTGGGACTGAGGAGCCCTAAGTGGCACTACATAGTATATTATACCATTCCGCTGTGTTTTAAGATTATTTATTTGTGCACACAAGAACTGGGGTACAGGCCAGAGGTGCGGGGACTGAGAGGATTCACCAGAGACAGAGGGGGGAGCGGCACGGGCAGATTGACTGAAACACACTGCTGAGGGGAGCAGCGGGTGGCTCAGGAGAGGTCTGCTGTGCCATGTGGCTCACCTGCCTGGCCAGGGCATTGAACTTGAGCTTCAGTGGCTTCAGTAGCCTCGTAGCCTGGTTTTTGTTTTTTTAAGATTTACTTATTTATTTATACAGAGCTGGGGTACAGGCCAGAGGTGCAGGGGCAGATCAACAAAGTACCCTGCTGAGGGGAGCAGTGGGTGGGTCAGGAGAGGTCTGCTGCGCCATGTGGGTCACCTCTGCGGCCGGGGTCAAACTTGCACTGAAGCGGCTGTGGCCAGCCAGCAGTGCTGCATCCCAACCTGTTGCTCCACCAGGGAGGGGCCCTTGGTTTTTGTTTTTAAGTAACATGTCTTGGAAATCTCTCCAGGTCAGTATATTTAGATCTACCTGATTGTTTTGACGACTGCCTAGAATTCCAGGCAATGTGCACAATAGACTTTAGGTAGCCATTCATTCTTCTGGGGGTGGACATCTAGAATGCTTTCTCATTTCATCACTGTGGCATCATTTTCACACACCTTTGCTATGTGCCTGTGTGCATTTCTCAAATGTCAATCGTGAGCACAAAGACTGCTCCCGGCCTCTGTATCTGGCCCTCCCTGCCAACCCCGGAGGATACAGCCTGTGGGGTGGGAGGCCAGACCTTTTCACCTTCCTGCCTCCCCAGGGGTCCAGATCCAGTCCTCCCAGATTGTGGAATCCAGTGGTTTGTACACCTTGCAGAGCGTTCTGAAGGTGCGACTGGCTAAAGGCGACAAAGATGCCCGGTTTTACTGTGAGCTCAGCTACCGACTGCCCAGTGGGAACCACATGAAGGAATCCAAAGAAGTCACTGTCCCCGTTTTCTGTGAGTGCCAACCCACTGAAACCCACTGTCTCGGGGCTGTGCCTGGTGGAAACTCCTGTAAGCTCACTCCTCCCACCCAGCCCAGGGGCAGCTCTTGGGCTGAGAGCCCCTCTTTGCCTATGCAGACCCGACAGAGAAAGTGTGGTTGGAAGTGGAGCCTGTGGGAATGCTGAAGGAGGGGGACCGTGTGGAAATCAGGTGTATGGCTGATGGCAACCCCAAACCTCACTTTAGCATCAGCAAGCAGGTGCGGAGGCCTCATGGGGGTGTCATGCAGGGGTGGCTGAAGGCTGAAGGTGCACTCTGCTCACTCCTCGATCCTCCCCCAGAACCCCAGCACCAAGGAGATGGAGGAACAAGCTGCAGGTGACAACGGGATCCTGGTCTTGGAGCCGGCCCAGAAGGAGCACAGCGGGCTCTATGAGTGTCAGGGTCTGGACCTGGAAACCACTATATCGCTGAGTGACCAGCAGGAGCTGCTGGTGAACTGTGAGGCGCTGGGGACCCAGGAGAGGTGGGCAAGAGGGAATTTGGCCTGCCCACTCTCTGCCCTGCCAGCTTGACACTGCTGCTGTGTCCCCAGATGTGTCTGATATCCGGGTCAGTCCGGCAGCCCCTGAGGGCCAGGAGGGCAGCAGCCTCAATCTGACCTGTGAGGCAGAGAGTAACCAGAACCTTGAGTTCCAGTGGCTGAGAGAGAAGGTACCCAGGTGGGCCCAGAGCCAGGGAGTGAGGGGCTGACAGGTGGGTGGGCCTAGGAGTGATCTTCTGCCATCTCTCACCCAGACAGGCGAGGTGCTGGAAAACGGGCCCGTGCTCCAGCTACACAACCTGCAGCGGGAGGCAGGGGGAGGCTACCGCTGTGTGGCATCCGCGCCTCACGTGCCCGGCCTGAACCGCACTCAGCTGGTCAGCGTGGCCATTTTTGGTGAGCCCCTCTGGTGGCTTTTTTTTTTTTGAAGGAAAAGAGCCAGCTGTGACTGGGATGCTCTGGTGGGGTGGGGAGGCAGGCGAGCAAGTCTGTGCCTCACCTTCCCTGCTTCCCCAAGGCTCCCCGTGGATGACGTTGAAGGAGAAGGTGGTGTGGGTGAAGGAGAACACAATGTTGAATCTGACTTGTGAAGCAACAGGCCATCCTCTGCCCACTATCTCCTGGAATGTCAGTGGCACGGTGAGTGGCCCAGCTTGTCTGCGGGCTTCCATTCACCCCTGCCCAGGCTCTGCGGCCAGGACCGGACATCCTCCCCCTGCCCTGAGCTGCACCTGCTTCCTTGCAGACAAGTGAACAAAACCAAGATTCCCAGAGTATCCTGAGCGTCCTGAATGTCCTGGTGACCCCAGAGCTGCTGCAGACAGGTGCCCAATGTGTGGCTTCCAACTCTGTGGGCAAAAACAGCACTGTCATTTTCCTAGAGCTGGGTAAGGACCTAGTCCTGCAGAGGATGGCAGGGGTGTGCCCAGGCAGAGGCATTAACTGTGCTTTTCCTAACCCACCTCCCAATCTGTCCCTTCCCTCTCACCAGCCTCCAACACAACCACTGACCTCAGCACCTCCACTGTCAGTCCCCACTCCAGAGCCAACAGCACCTCCACAGGTAAGTCAGGAGCAGGGCTGTGCCTGGGTCTCCTCATTCTGCCCTGGCCCTCACAGACAAACAGCAGCCCATCATCTGTCAGCCTGGCCCGGTGGGACAGTGATGACAACCCAGGGCAGGAATGACTGACTGTCCTTGTGGAACAGAGAAGAAGCTGCCAGAGCCGGAAAGCAAGGGTGTGGTCATCGTGGCAGTGACGGTGTGTGTCCTGGTCCTGGCTGTGCTGGGAGCTGTCCTTTACTACTTCTACAACAAGGGCAAGCTGCCATGCGGGCGGTCAGGCAAGCAAGAGATGTAAGCATGCACCTGGCACCCTGTGCCCACCCCATCTCGTGCTGGCCAGCTTGCCACCTCGTTGGGGACACTGCCCCGCCTGCCCCCGTGCTGCTTGCCCCCCAGAAGGAAGAGTGGAGACCCGGGTGTGAGTGCTCCCTGCCTTACTGCCACTACCCCCAGCTTCCATCACCCACCTCTTTCTGAACAGGCCCTTAAGTCCAGCATCCTTCCTGATGGCCCCTTCTTTCCCCTCCCCTTGCTCGAGTTGCCAACCTCTTGCCTCCCTCCTCCTCCCAGCACGCTGCCCCCGTCTCGTAAGGGTGAATTTGTAGTGGAAGTTAAGTCAGATAAGCTCCCAGAAGAGATGGGCCTCCTACAGGGCAGCAGCGGTGACAAGAGGGCTCCAGGAGACCAGGTAGGAGGCGGCTCGTGCAGCCCGCGCCTGACACCTCTTCTGGGGTTGGGGCTTGTGGTACTTGCTCCCCCGACACTAACTCTCTTCTTCCTCCTTTGTTGGAGACTGGGAGCAGGTCCCGTAGCTTGCCCTCCTAACACTACTCAGACGGTAGGGCCAGTGGCTGAGGGACCCTGGAGAGAGGGCGGCTCCCGACAAGGAGCACAAAGGCCCTGTCCAGCACTTGTGCTCGCACGTCACTAGGTGTGAAGTGGGGCCAGTGCCTTTGGGGGCTGCGTCGCCCTGCCCTGCCTGCTGTCATTCCCCTCAAGGCTGCTGCGCCGCGTTCATCAGCTTTTGCTTCGGTTGCACCTCTCAGCGCTCCTGCCCTGACCTGCCGACACTGTCTCCGCACTCCCCTTACTTCTCCTTTTCACCAATTTTTAGGGAGAGAAATACATCGATCTGAGGCACTAGCTGGCTGAATCACAGCTTCCTTCCTGCCTGGAACATTTCCTGCTCCCTGCTCACCCTCCTCCCCAGCACTGAGGATGGTTGCCAAAGCCTCTGAAGGGAACTAGAGAAGACCTGCTCCAGCTCACCTGCAGAACCCCCTCGGGACAAGTGGGCTAGGAGGAGAGTGTCCCCTGCAAGACCTCCTGTGGCCCTGGAGGCCCTTCTTCAGGGACCAACCCATCATCACCCCAATTTTTTGAGTGACACTCATCCAAGGAAGGGGCCTTGGTAACCCAGCAATGGGTAGGAGAATTGGCTCGGAACATGTTTCCTCTTTCCACACATTATGGGTATAAATAACTGTCTTCAACCAGCAGCTGAACTGGGTGGCCTGTTTTCTGAGCTGGACTGTGCCCCAAAGGCTGGCTTCATATTTCAGCTGTATCACTGAAGTGAAGATACCCAGGCCCCTCTCACTCGTAAAGTATGTTGCTCCCACTGATTCTACAAAGTAGCTCATTAGTATCTAGAAGTGCTGCCTGCCTGCCTCTGGGGTCCCTTATGTGACACTCCAAGCAGAAGCCAGGAGCTAGTGTCACTCCTTAACAGGTGTGGGGCTATCCCATTGTCCTTGCAATGGGGACCCATGGAGTTTGCCAGGATTAAGGCTACTGAGGCCAAGCTGCCTACTTTCGTTTGGCTCCTGATACCCTCAGGGATCATGTGAGACTGAAAGATGGCAGGAGGAGGCAGAGATGACGTCGAGAGTCTCCTTTATGGGATAAGGGCTATAGTTACACTAGTACCTAACTTCTGCAAACTGAGCGAATGGGCCTAGGCCCTAGCAAAATGAGTCCAGTGGCAGAATGGTACTTAGGGATGAGAAACAGGGGCCTGGCTAGAGCTTGGGGTGTGTGTGTGTATATGTATCTGCGTGGGCGAATATATATATATGTGGTTTTGTTAGGTTGTGTGTAAATTTGCAAACCTTCCTTTGTGTGTATGTGTGTGCGCGCGCGTGTGTGTGTACAATAAAGCTTAATTGTCTCAGAAATCTTGCTTGTTTTTTATTCACCACAGTACATTAGCCTGGGGCCTCTGGAATTAGAATTGCACCAACAGGAAAACAAACCGTTTGGTGGTTGGAGTGAGGTGATGGTGTTACCTCTGTTTGGCCAATAGCTCCAGCTCTTGTGCAGAACTATGGTCACCCTCCTCACAAAGCTGACAGGGAGCAGCTGGCCTTTGTCATTTGCGTTCTGGTCACTCAGGTGCCCTGGAGGTAGCAGCATGACTTCGGGATGAAGATGGGCCTCAACACTTGGTCCTGGGGTTAACCCGTGTTTTAGCCCCTACCACGGATGAGCAAGAACTCAGGTCTTGCTACAACAAAAGAAACTTTATTTAAAAATATTTTTTTTTTACAGACAGGTGCTTGAAAAAGCTCTTTAGTTAATTGTGTATGGAAATGAAAAAAAAATTAATAAATAACATTAGTATAACAGACCTTTAAACATAATACATTGGCAAAAAACAAACTGGACTTAAAATGAAAATGAATCTTAAAGCTCTGCTATTCTCTGTAAGAATATTTATCTTCTGTTTTTTCTTATTCTTTACAGGTGAGAATGATTAAATACTGCTATTATAAATTTTTTTATATTAATGACACATTTTTAAAATAGTCCACAAAAATTCATCTAAGTTTTCATTTTGTTTTATTTTTAACACTGATATACAAATTGGGACTCTTCACTCTGGAGAAAGCATCAAGTTCTCTCCAGTCCCACCCAGGCCAAAAGGTCAAAATCCTGAATAAGGAGGACTGTAGAAAGCATGATTTTCTATCTCCCAATTCTTTATTAGTTAAAGGCAGAGGGGAAATAAGAAAAGGAAAGAAATAAGTAAATGTCATTACATAGAAAACTTTTTTCTCTTCCACCATAACCTACAGTGGCCACAGCACCACACATAGGCTTCTGGTGCACTAGGACCGTCCCTGATGGTCCTTGCTGCTTTCCCAAGAGAAAACTAGGCCCTGGAAGAGGGAACTAGCTGCTTAATGCTTTAAGTCTGACGTCTTCTAAGGAAAGGAACGCCACAGTATGGAGAGGCAGGAGAGCTAGGTCAGTTCAGGATCCAGCACAGAGGAAACACAGGAAGAGTCCATTCTATACTTTTCCATGCAGTTGGGTCATTAGTAAGACCAGAAGCTGGGACATTTGAAATGTCCAGAGAATACCCGGAAATCATGGAATATTCTGTCTCCTTGCTGGAGATAGAGCATTCAACCTGATAAATGAGATTCCAATTGGAACCAACTAAATGAGCCCAGGAAACAATGCTTACTTCCTCCTCCAAGCAGTTGGTAGGGAGAAGAGACCACCGAGAGGCTGCACCGTGTGCCATCTCTCCAGTCACACACTTCCCCTTCTCAAGACTGTAGAAAAGACTGACACCCAAGGTAGAGGAACTAAGACTCTGGTATTTCCATATTAAGTCCTAAAATGCAGCCTGAGATACAGTGCTGCCTTAGAAAGGCACAAAATGTTTGGCTTTTTTTTTTTCTTCAATGTGCTAAAAATTGTTCTGTTTTGAATAAAGGAAAAAAGATATGTAAGGTTAAAAACCCCAAGTCACCACAGTCAGATAGCAGATGTAGGAGGTACCTCATAGCTGCCATGTCCCTACCGCATTTCAGTGGGAGATCAAGATCAAAACACTAAAACAACGCTGAGAAGGGGAGGTCAGGGGATATCCACTCTCCTGGGCGTTGTGCCTGCAGGCTTACTCACCCAGACAGCAAAAGGAAGAAACCAAGGAAGAGAAAACACGTGGTCTACAGCCTCCTAAGTAGTTTGCCTCTTCAGTTTCAAGACAGCCAAAAAGCATGGCTACACTCACTTATAATGGGTTAGAGATGTGGGGGGGGGAGAATGACATCTAGGGCATGTTAACACACATGTAAGAGTGCCAGGAGTGGCCCTTCCTTCATTCCACTCCAGGGCCTCAGGCTCAGTATGAGGCTGGAGGGATTGCCCAGAGCACAGATTGAACATTTTTCCTCTCTGTCCTCCCAATCTGGTTTAGGAATGGAATGGAAGGAGAACTTGAGAAGGCAATGTGAAAAGTGCCTCTCAGTCAGCTTTGGGGCTGAATCAAGAATATGGAGTCTGAAATCAGAACTTATTTGTTAGGCTGCCAAATCAGTAGGAGATCTGAGGTTGGCTCTGAAATTTTGCTCCATACACAGGGAGGGGTCAACCAGATTTCCAGCACTGTATGAGAGGAGGGGCAGAAAGATCTCCAAACAGCTGTTAGTCTGCTAGTCAACTGCTGGCTCCTCAGCAAGACACTTTCCATATGACTATGAATGCGCCTCTAAACAAAGCTCCCTGCTCTCCCTCAACCCTACTGCCCCATCTCACTCTTGAGCTACTTTCTAGAATCAAGAAAAAACTGGTACTCCCTCTGGAAAGCAAACTCATACTTCCCAGGCCACTGAAGGCAACAGCATTGCTGTCCCTCTGGTCCTTAACACTAGAACCTAGATTAGGAAATCTAAAGCCACGTCTGATGGGTGACCCTTCTTCAAGTGCCTCAATGTGTATCTTTGGATTAGGTTTTTTTATGGATTTATCATATGACTCCAGAAGTTAGAAAAAAGTTTTAAGTGATTATGAAATGCCTTAACTCAGGGCAGTCTCTAGGATGATATAAAAATGATCAAAAAGTTCAAGCAAGTAGATGCATAATTTTAAAAGTGAAAAGATAAAGCATTTAAATTCAGGAGCACAAAGAAAGTAACTGGACAGTGAAGGGCAGCCTGTCTAAAGAGCTCTCAATAAAGACTTCAACACTGGAATCAACATCTAGTTTACACCCTGCTATAGCAAAGAACTTTCTTAGGTAGCAAAGAAGGCTTGCTAAGAATACTATTGCAGAGTTCCTCTCATACAGGAAGGACCAAATGAAAGGGTAAGGAGTGCACAATGGAACATAGGCCACGGGCCACAGGATAAATATATTTTCAGTGCTAAAATCTGACAAGAGTCCAGAAGTCCATGGGTGGTGACTGCAGTGTGACTTGCGATCTACTCTCTAAATGATGCGAAAGAAGGCTAAAACCTGAGCATGAATGAAACCTAAGAAATGCCACTGAAGGACAGACCAGCTCTAAGACAGAAGAAACTGGTCCCAGGGAGGGAGATAAGAAATCTTGGATGCTGAGATTGAGAAAGGGACAAAAAGAAAGAAACAAGGAAAGGAAGAAATTAAGGAAACCTAAGAATTTCCTTTGCTATCCCAGACACAGTCCCACGCCTGCCTTTCCACCCTCAGAGACAGTACACAGTTGCAGCTCACTGCTCCGGTATTCTGGGAGTAGCTGTGCTGTCTGCACCCTCTGCTGTGGGCCCACTCTACACTCCCTGTTGTCCCGTGTGGTAAGTCAACTGGTTAGGGGTAGATACTTGCTGGCAGGCTGTAGGGATTAGATTCTCTCTGGAAATAATAAACCAAGAAGCACTGGGAACCTGTTAGCAGTGAACCCTAGAACTGGAGGGTGTGAACTTGAGGATTAGGGTACCTACTTTGGGGTTATGCATACTGATGAACAGATTGACGAGCAGTAGAACGGATATGTAGAAAGCTTTACAGTTCCAGCTCAGTTTTACTTCTTATCATAGGTTCTGTGAAATACCCTGCATCCTTATGACTCCCTCCTTTCCTTAGCTGGAGTACTTGTTTCTCTCACTCAAGCGATTCCTAAACAAGATAGTCAAAGATGCAACCTAGAACTTCTTCCAGTATGCACCCTTTCCCGTTTCATTAAATGGCTCTATGCATTTCTAAAGAAAGACAGATAGTACAGACTGGGGTCAGAGCAGTGATAGTTATGTTTTAAGCTGAGATGGCTACTTTAAATAGAATCTCTAAAGTTTAAAAGCCTAGCAAAATGATGATGTACTGATTTTTACATTGCCTCTAAGCTCTCTAAGTTTCTTAATCCAGGAGAAAGAGATGGACTTTTCTGAGATCTAATTGAATCCAATCTATTTTATTGAGACCCAAACAACTGGTAGGAAGATCAGGACCCAAAGATGGGTGCTTCTCCCTCTCCCATACCTTCATCCCTTCTAGGACATAGGGTTAGCTGCAAAGGCTGTTGAAAGATTAGAAAACAAGTTCAAATAGAATGAGAGATGGTGACAGATTCCAGAAAAGCAAGAAAGAAACTTCCCCAACATGGAGGACTAGAGACACAAGCAGCTCAGTAAAAAGATCAAGGAAGGCACTAGAGTGCAAAGGGAGACTATGGACTAAAAACACGATTTGCTAATAAACATTTGCTTAAACATTTAACTGTCTGTCCCACTGCACAACTCTGAATCAACATACCCCTCATCCAACCAAATAAGATTCCACTGAGAAAAGTAAAAATGGTGGGTATCTATGAGACTTACACTGAGTTACCTCCACTGAGACATTAACAGAATGACAGGAAGACAATAAAGTTCATGGGAGATTTTATGGGCTGATTTTAACCAGAATAGCTCCATAAGGAAATACATGTCTACATTAAAGAGCTGTGAATAAATATCGCAGACTCACTAGGAAGGGCCAAATACAAGTGCTAGGCAACCCACATCCAAGCCCCAGCATCAGTAAATCACCATGTGGTGGCAGGGAAAAGCACAGAGCTCACACTTCTGGCACATGGTAACCACTTCCAAACATCTGCTGAGTGAACAAATGAACTGGGACAGCCAGACCAATGGTTCAAATACCATTGTCCCACGGGCAGTGGTCATTTCAGAGTCAGAGAGGCCAATGGCAAGAAGGAGGATTTATAGTTTGGGAATGTGTATGACCCTCTGACTTTCATGATGTGAGGTAGGAGAGTACTCGGCATTAACACCATACCTGATCACATTACGAAAAGGTCTAGATCTTGTTAATGGTGTCTTAGGTAATAGATAGGTGGTCCGTAATTTGCAAGCAAATTCACAAAAATTAATTAGTAAGTTTGCTATTTGGACCATAAAATATATCTTACTTTTCTATAGAGGAAATAAATACTTTAAGTAAGAAGAATAACACCCCCCCACACACACACACCCCAATATATTTTTAACCCACAATCAGCTAACTGGTACTTACAGAACTATCCCACATCCTGTGCCCTGATGCTGAGCGTCTGTACCAAGAGAGAACAGTTGAATACCTAGAACAGGGTCGGGCAAGAGACTGGCCACCCAAAGGTATACATCTCTAGTTACACATACATTGACAAATAAATTCTGAGCCAATAAACTGTCCAATCTATTATTTGTGTGAAGGGAGGCAAAGAGCCCACAGGTTTTTCCACCATAATCTACATGTTACTTGAGTGGAAGGAATACTGCAACAGAGTCCACTAGTGAAGTATTGGGAAGCAGCCTTCCAGCAACAGGACAGGCTATGTACAGTGACTTGAGGAGACAGGAAAAGCAGGGAGAGTGGTCTGAAATGACTAGCCTAAAGCACATCAAAGTGGCTTTTACCTTTTCCACCTGACAGCTGGCACAGAAGGAATCATTTATACCTAGGAAGGGGAAGTAGGATGAGTTTGTCAAAAATGGCAAAATGCAAAGCTAGCTTGGGGAAAGGACAATTTTTGTTAAATTCAGAGCAGAGCCAAAGAATTTAAAAGTTGTCTTACAAATGGAGGATGATAAATGTGTTATTGGTTCCTTAGTCAAAGGAAATTAAAGTTTTGGAAATATCTTTAGAGCAAGAGGATGTAAAAACCTTCCTGAGGCATGAACCCAGGCCCTTACCCACAGCACCCAACAAGAAAAGCCCCACACAATAGTCTAAAACCTTAAATGCCTGTAGATGCATAGCTAGCATGGTGCACAAATTCAACACAGGGCCCCGACACCAAGTTTCAGAGCTAACTCAAACTGTGCCACAGGTTTTCAGTTAGAAAAAGAAAGGATGAACCTGCTCTTAGTCTACATTAAGGACATACCCTCCAGAGAAGAGGATTCTGGATGCAATGAAGAAGAACCAGAGCTTTGTTCTCTTAACAGATCCATGAGATTTGACTGCCATAGATAGTGGGCAGTAGCGACAGAAAAGGGGAAATTCCAGCACAAACAGGCATGCTGCTATTTTTTCCTGGTTGTTTTTGGGGCCTTCAACAACAAAACAAAACTCACAACCAAATCTTACCACAGACACAACACTATTCCGGCTTTTTGAAGGAGATGCTTGCTGGTTTCCAACTCACTGCCACTTTCCCTGCTTTTTCACCTTCATCAGGACCTCTCACCCCTGATGGTGGGCCCTGCTGTCTGCTGCCATGCAGAAGAGACACTAAGGGCAACCATGATAAATCAACAAGAAGCCCAGTACTGTCTACTAGGTCAATGTAAATAAATGGCTCTGAGCCAAGAAGAGAAAGTCAAAAGAACCAGAAGTAGCTGAAGTCAAGAGAAAAGCGAGAAAACATTTTTATCTACAAACATGACATCATGGGAGAGAAAGAGATCTAAAAGGAATCATTTCTGCCTGGATCTAAAGACAAACGCCTGCTATGGATTTCAAGGAAGCAGATTTATCAGAGAGCAGACTGGCTAGCCTCTGAGGAGGACAATTACAAACTCCCAGGGAAATCAGCAAAGACTCAGAGGTCTAACTGAACTCCAGGGCTCAGGTAGCAGCTACAGGAACTGACGGATGATGCCACACATGTGACAGGCTTTTCCTTTGAACTTGCAATTATATATACTGCTGGGCTTTTCACATACTGGCTCTGAATATCATAAAGTCATTATACCAAGGAATGTCTAATTACCACAGAGAACGCAATCATTAAAGAACATACAGAACTAAGGTGAAGAAGGGGAAGGAAAGGAGAAGGAGATGCTACATTTCCAAAGCCACAGGCACACGAGAAACCAAGTCACCACGTGGCACCGATGTAGAAAAGAAGCCTATTATCAGAAAAATGCTGTGCTATCACCACCATGTGTGGAATCCCCAATTCCTTAAAGAAAAAAAACTGATTCTGAAAATATAAACTGGCTCAAGTACATATAAGCTGAAATGAACAATTCATTAAGAAGAAACAATGAACAGATAAACCCTTATCTTCTACTTGTGCATTTTTTGTGTAACACGGTGAACAGCGTGTGAATAAAGCTTCTTAAAAGCTTCATACCATCAGAAGACAGAAGCCATGCTGGAAACAAAAGTCCTTTCCTTCCTCAATAGGTAGAAAAACTCAAGACCTACATCAGAACACATACCTGGCACCAAGGCAACTGACTCCCACAGACTCTTTTCTGGGGAGGGCATGGAATGTATTTGAAGGCCTCTATCTCAAATCAGTCATTACATAATTAGGATAATTAAAACATCTTAGTTTAACAGACTCAATGTTCCTACAGAAACAGTGCTTTGGAGTGACCAGTGTTAGCTGCTAGTATCAAACATGACCACACTGATATAGCAACAGTACTATCCCCCCACCATCTTCCAAACAAACCAGCACATCACACGGAATAAAGAGCATCCTATAAGCCACTTGGCTTCAGTCAGGCTGGTCACAGCAAGCCCACTGCCAGTGACAAGACACTGAGGAGGAGGAGGAAACAGGGGAAAGGACAGAGGGAGGGTGTTCTAAAAATACAAGACTTTAGCTATGCACGTGATAATCCAAGCCAAAGGGGAGTGTTAAAGCTGTAATACACATTGGGGTTGGGAATAATACCACAGTAGATGGAAGTCTTTAAAAGATTCCTTTCTAAACCTCTTGTGCTAATTCCCCGCCTGGGATTAACACAGACAGCAGGTTAATCTTATAATCACAGGACACACACACACACACACACACACACGCACACGCACACGCGCACACGCACACACACACACACACACACACACACACACAAACTCCTTTCACAACCCAGGAAAGTCTTAAATCCTAACTAGGATCTACAGCACAATACTTTTACCGCTGTTTCCTGGACCATTCTCCAGGCATGTTACCATTAAATAAAAGTCCACACTCTTGCAAGTGGGGAGACCTGCAAACACACTCTCAAACAAGTAAGATAATAAATCATACTAGCTGCTCCATTTTCCTTCCACTGCTTTGAAATCCTGGAGCCACAGGTGCGATACCCAGAGAGGGTAAGACTTCATTGTCACGTCTCCAAGGAACCTCTGCCCTCCTAGGTGCTACTTGAGTAGGGGCTCTCGGCTCACTGGTCCTCTAGAGTGCAACAGGGAGGTAATATGCTAGGTGGCTATGTGGGCAGGAGAAGAAATAGAAACAAACTCTCGGAGGATATTTTTGGCCATTTCAATGTTGTTGTGGGCAATGACCAACGCTTTCTGAATGTCCTGGTAGGAGTATCCCTGACTCATGAGCTTCTCAATCTCACTGGAAAGCTGTGGTGAGGCGGAGGTGGTAACAGCAGCGGAGGCAGCAGAACCACCTTGCTGACAGCTACCTGCTTTTCGTTCAGAGTTGATTCTCCGAGGGAACGGTTTGGGAGGTCTCTCAGGAACTTGAGAACCCTCTGTGAAGTCTAGAAGAAATAAGAAAGAATATATTTGCAAAGCTGGGTGGGAATCCACATTCATGCCAGCAGTAGCAGTAACAGTGTACTATCAAGATTATTGCTCCTCTGCACTGTAAGTTGGGTACGTGTGCTCTTCGGTCACAAGGCTGGTTCTATGGGCTTAAGGGTTTTAGTGTACAGTCTCAATTCTATCACAACAGGAGCAACCTTCTACATATACCACACACCTGTTCTACTAACAACCATTGCTGTCACAGGCATGGAACATCTGCATTTGTATCATACTCTACACACAGCAACAACAGGTTTCACACATATTGCCTGAGGAGGCCAGACAAGATACTGAACTTCTCTTACAAGTAAGTAAACAGAAAGAAGTCTGTTTAAACAAGGTTGGGTGGGTGGAGACGGGTGCTTATTTGGGGAACTGGACACTGTATCTTTTTCACCAGCTGTCCTGAAGGCTGTCTTTAATTCACATGTGACAGTAACTCTGGCTGTTGCCCACCCCAGCAGACACAGGTGCAAGAAGAGCAGCCCAAATGGAAGCTGGCTCCAAGCCAACATGGTATGGCCTCCAGAGCCAGCATGCATCCCTTACAATGGGGAGAGCCCAGAAGTCAGGAATTAAGGGCTGAAACATTAATATTGTCCCTGTTATACATGCACTCTGAGGAGCCAAAGTCTCTTTTACCCCAGCAAAGAGGAAGCCATGATTTAAGAAACAATCTTATTTCTAAGTCTGACAAAATCCTAAAGGATTTGATCATGTTTAACTTCCTAATTTGGGAACTAAGACTAGTTTCTTCCCATTTAGATATAACTTTTATTTTACTACTTCCACATACTGACTTACCATTACCATGTAGTCGTTTCTATTTTAGTACAAATAAGCAGCCATATAGTATCTGAATGCAAACCCAAGATAGCCTGGGGACTCACTTGTAGAATCCCGGTCCAGGGACAGCCAGCCAAAGGAGGAGCTGGCATTGGAGATATCTGAGAGAGTTCGGCGGGCCAGCACTGCTGGCACAGGTGGCTTGGGGACATCATACCCATCATCCTCATTTTCTGATTCCTCAAGGCCAGTGTTGGCATGAGTTGTAGGCAAATTCCCTTCACCTAGAGAAAAACCTGCATAGTTATTTTCTTCTTATAACATACTTCACTTTCTAATAATACATCTCAGCATAAGGACATCAGGTTATTCAGGCATGTGGAAACCCAGTTATTGAATGTTTACTATGGGCCAAACCCCATGTGAGGCCCTGTGAGTACAGATAAAAGAAAGAGAAAATAAGACCTACACCAATCCTGTAAGCTCTACTTTTTGAGCACGTCAAAAACTATCATTGGGTCCTCCCTGGTGGTGCAATGGGTTAAAGAACAGCACTCTGAAACTATCATGGCCACTGCAGCGTAAGTTTGATGCCGGGCCAGGGAGGTGACCCACATGGCACAAAGGACCTCTCCTGTCTCACTCACTGCTCCCCTTAGCAGTGTACTTCATGGGTCTGCCTGTTTTGCTCTCAACTCTGTCTCTGGTGAATCTTCTCAACGCTCCCCACCACACCTCTGGCCGATACCCCAGTTTTGTATGCATAAATAAATAAATCTTTAAAAAAAAAAAAAAACTATCATTGCCAAAGTTAATAGCCGTGGGTACCAAAGACTCAAGAGTCAATTTTCAGTAGTCACTCAACATTTCTATCTGTATTTCACCTTGGATGATCAGCCAAAGAGCCCTGTGTGTGCTGCCTTCTTGACCTTTCAACTTGGTAAGCTAGTTAACAAGGGAATTGGGTATTCACCACCCACACACACAAAAGATTTTTATCAATGCTAAAAAGGAGTAGGAATAAAAAGGAGCTGTCAGTATTGCAGGTTCAGGCCCTGTAACACAAATGTCTCCAAGTCTTAGAAGGATGAAAAAGAACAAAAGGAGCTAGCTCTGTAATAGTAAATAAGAGGAGAAGGTTTTATTATGAATGGGTAGAAGATATTTTTGGGGAGAAATAAAAAAGAATTTTCTACTTATATAAGATTAATAATAAAGATTCATTCCTGTGGATTTTTAGAGTAAAAGAATCTCTACTTACCAAAGGTGCCAGTCTCTGTGACTGATGGGGCAGCCTGAGACTGAATATTATACATTGCTTCATATGTACAGCTATCAATCTGCTGGTCATAATCACATGCTCTGAACCAGAAGAAAAGTAACAATAATCTTCAGAAACAGAACTGTTATTTGCAGACTTACTAAGACTCACTTATTCACAACCCCACCAGATACTGGTTCTAGCATGATAACACATCTTGCTTTTACAGTATCATTAATAAATATCATTAAGACTGACCTTTAGTGAATAATAGATGCGTGTATTTTTTTTTTGAGAGTACTGTGATGTTGAGGAAACATGGAATTGCTAAAATTCCTTACAGCTGCTTACAGCTACAAGAGGTTTAATATTGAGACAGCTATATCGGCATTGCTTATGGCTGGATAATCCCAAGTGCAGGCCGTAGGCCAATGCTGTTAACTAAATTCCAAAACAGGGCTGTGTGAACCTACCGTGAACCCTGGGTTGCCTCCAAAGGCTTCTGAATCCCTACAGGCCTAGAGGAGGGAGTCATATACTCTGTGTCTTCCTCACTTTCACACTGCTCCCCGGGTGGCAGCTTTGGCACAGGAAGAGGTCTGGAAGGTGAGTAATAAAATAAAAAAGAACAAAAACAAAAAGAATTAACAAGCTGGAAAACCCTCCAGTATGAAATAAGTGGTTTCAAAATAGACCACAACTAGAAAGATACAGCCAAATAGATACCACCAAGGGAATCAGTATTACCCCAGTTCAAGATGAGTAAAATATTAAAAACACAGGTGACCTGTGGTCACCTGAGAAATTTTTCACACAGTGTTATTAGAATACTGGGCAAATATAGTTGTCCCAGTCTAAGTGCTGATATGCCAGTTTTTTTATTCACTAGGCACAAAACCAGAAAAAGCAGGTGGGTTTCCTACCATATCCTCGGAATGTATACTAAACCCCTGTTCTAAAAAATACCTGTTTTAAAAAATATACAAATTGTCAAAAGCTTTTTGATAAACTATCTCAGTATAAATACTTTTTCTCCTTGTTTTATAATAAGTAAAGAGTGATAAAGTATCTTAGCAGTTAGCATCAATTCTGGGACTAGGTCCCAGATCTTCTGACTCCAGCTTCAGGAAGCCTGCCATTACAGTCATACATAACTCTCACTAAGAAGATTTTGAAACAAAACTTCTGCCACCTCAGCCCCATAAAACCAAAAATAAAAAAACAAAAATCCCAATTATGTAAGAAATATGCTGCAGCAAGAGCTCCATCCCCAGCTTGGGAGCTGACCCACATGGTGCAGCAGACCTCTCCTATCTCACCCACAGCTCTCCTGAGCAGTGTATTTCAGTAAACCTGCCTGATCTGTTCCCCACTCTGTCTCTGGTAAATCCTTTCACCACCCCCCACCCCGACACCTCTGGCCTACACCCCAGTTCTTCTATGCAAAAAACAAAAAAAGAGAGAGAGATTATACAAAAGGAAACACACCACTTCTGAAAATGTAAGTTAAAAAGCATTTCTCCTTCCTTCTTTATACTTTTTTTTGGCATATTCTAATGTTTAATTTTGCCTAATTATAAAGCAGTCACTGACTTTTATAAAACACAAATGCTACAGGAATGTAATGCAGAGTAACAGTCCCCTATAACCTCACATGAGATTCTTTTCTTTATTATACAAAGTACTCGTATTATTTGTAGACTACATGCTGAAATTCTGAAGTGAAAGTGTATTGGTATCTACAATGTACACTGAAATGTACCAATATAACATGGACTGATGAGTGGGTATAAGGGATGGATGGATGGATGGATGGATGGATGGATGGATGGATGGATGGATGGATGGATGGATGGATGGATGCATGGATGCATGGATGGATGAATGGATGGAAAAAATGTGTGATAAAACTGTAATAAAAGTGCTAATAGCAGAATCTAAGTATAAGTCTATGGATGTTCACTTTAAAATTCTTTTACCCTTTGTTTAAAACTTTTCATAATAAAACATTAGTGGGAAAACAACTCATAAAAGACTAAGAAAAAATACCAAGTATTGGTGAAGATGTACATAAATGAGTACTTTCTTACACATCGTTGGGGAATAAAACATTTGTGTGTTTCTAGAGTATAAGTATTTAACTAAAATAGACATGAATACTCTTGGACTTAGCAATTTCACTTCTAATAATTTTACCTAATAATGTAGCTATAGCATAGTGGAAAAACAGGCAATGACCTGCCAAATAATAATGCATTAAACACATAAATTTTGAATTACACTGATAGCAATATACCTCAAGTCAACAGTGTCCCTCATGACTCTTAGAGATTCCAAGCAGGAAACTTGGAGGCCTATTCCTTCTTATATCACAACAGGCTTGGCCTCACTTATTTTACCAACTGAGGTTCCACTTAGTCTGCTTGACTGCTTTTCAGTCATCTAAAAATCATTGTAATAGAATATATAATGACATCCTAAGATAGTTAAGATATTCCTAGTGAAAAACAATAAACAGTATATGATTCATACATGCAAAAATGCCAATATCAAATTGCTGATTCTCAGTAAAGACTATGGATAAAAAATTATATTTCTTTAGTGCTGCAGTATTATTTTTCATAATAATAATAATAATAAAGTCTTATTTAGTTATGCACACAGCATTGAGGTATATATAGGCCAGAGGTGCAAGGGATGAGAGGCTTCACCAGAGACAGAGTAAAGAACAGGATAGCAGATCAATTAAGTGAACTGCTGAGGGGAGCAGCGGGTGAGATAGGCAAGGTCTGCTGTACCATGTGGATCATCTCCATGGCCTGGGATCGAACTCGCATTGAAGCAGCTGCTCCTAGCTTGCAGGGCTGCGTCCTAACCCACTGCATTGCCAGGGAGGGCCTATTATTACTTTTTATTTAGAAGAACTGGGGTATGCATAAGAGGGTTCACCATAGAAAGAGTAGGGAGCAGAATAGGCAGACTTATTGAAACACACCTGCTGAGCCGAGCAGCAGGCAAGACAGGAGAGGTCAGTTTTGCCTTATGTGGGTCAGCTCCCTGGGTATTCAACTCAGGCCATAGAGGTGATGGCAGTGAGACTTAACTCTTAGGACACCAAGGAGGCTCATAAGTATTCTTTTCATAAAGAAAAAAAAATGATTAAAAGTGCACTACTTTCTCACAAAGCATTTTAACAATACAACTATAAAACCAAAGCAAATTTATAACAGTAAAAGCTTTAAACTAAGTAAATATCCAACAATAGGGTAATGGCTACATATGTGATGTTATAGCAATGTTATAGACTATGTAATCGTAAAAGTAAGGATTTTGAAAAGCTTTTTAAATGATAGCAAGAAATGCCCAAGATACAATTTTAAGTTTTAAAAAGGGCAATACAAAACTGTGCCTTTATATAATATTATTTATATATATATATTACATTTCTACAGCCATTGCCCAAGTATTAGCTAAGCTTCTGCTTATAACAGCCGCCTAAATAGTATAAATTACCAAAGAAAAAAGGCACTGGAGAACCACTGGTATTGGATAGCCACCAGCAGCAGTCAAGAATTTAGAGGCCAAGATTCTGAAGAGAAGAATACACTGAAATAAATCCCCTGTTAGGGGTTTCTAACTAAGAGTTTGATGAAAATTTCTAATAAATGGTGGGGAGAGAAGGACTGGAATTTCAGGGTATTGTGAGAGCCAAGATAATGTGGTGCCAAAAATCCTTGAGAAGGAAACAGCGGAGAAGTAGATTAGAAATTCTGCCTGCAATTTTCCCTGGAAGTTATTGCTATCCTAGCTGTATAAGCATGGGGCTGGACTCTGAGAAACCATGTAGAAAGCAGCAATTGAAGAGTTGCACAAATACTTCCAGTTGTCTTGCCAAGATGGAGAGGCAGTGTTAGAGCAGATAAGGCCTTAAACGAATTACAATTTATATCTTTGATTTTATAAAAAGATGGACAATCTTATGAGAAAACTAGAATCAATAAATTCTTAAATTCACAAGGAAACTCCAGAATCCAAAAATACCATGTTTGAAAATGAAAATTCAATAGATAGGTTTAGGGCAGATTAGAAATGGCAAAAGAAAAGAACTGATTACAGAAACTAAAGTACAGACAAGAAAAATAAACTCTTTATAATACCATATCCAAATAAAATATGTAAATTAGTATAGAAAGCCAACTACAATCAGCAGCTTAAAATTACTATTATTTTACTTTGAAAATCAGTTTCATAGCATTGGTCTTAAATCTTCAAAGGGTCTCTCTGTCAGCCGCCTGTTTAAGTCTCAGTGCTATCACCACTACAGTCAGAGTTCGATACCTAGCCAGGGAGCTGACCCACATTGGCACAGCACACCTTTACTGTCTCGCCCATTCTTAGCAGTGCATTTTAGTCAGTCTGCCTGTCCTGCTTCCCACTCTGTCTCTGGTGAATTCTCTCACCCTCCTCACATCTCTGGCCTACACCCCAGTTCTTCTACACTAAAAAAAAGAAAGAGAATTAAATCTTGAAACAATTTTAAAATCATTTACTTTTTTTTTTAAACCATTTACTTTTAATAGATTCTTTTTCAGAAGTAAACTGCTACATATGTGTTCATATACATATCTTTTTAGTTTGGGTATATTTCTATAGTGTTTTGTATGAATTAGAGATAAGAGGACCTGAGGAAAAAAAGTAAAAACACTAAAAATAAAGAAAAACACAGAAATGAGCAAAAAAGCTATACCAAAAGATCTAACATTTAGGTAATGAGAACCCCAAATTTTCTAACAAGTAGTAGCAGGTGAACTTCTAAAACTGATTTAAAACCTCAAACTAGAAATTCAATACTCTACATACCCTTAACTATACACACATGCACATACTTGCAGTTCTACAAGTAACTATGAAGAAAAGGAACACAACTGCCGCACTCCAAAGACAAAGAGCCTGAGAAAAACATCACCTTTAAAAGACAAACGTTTAGGGGTCTCCCTGGTGGTGGAAGGGGTCAGAGTGCAGCATTATGAAGCTATCTGTTGGTACTGCAGCATGAGTTCAATCCCCTGCCAGGGGAGTGACCCACATGTCGCAGCAGACCTCTCCCGTCTTGCCTGTCGCTCCCCTTAGCAGTGTATTGCAGTTGATCTGCCTATTCTGACCCTACTGTCTCTGGTGAATCCTCTCACACCCCCCACCTCTGGCCTGTACCCCAGTTCTTGCATGCATACATAAATAAGTAAATTTTTTTTTTTTTAAAGAGCAACATTAAGCCTAAGTGTTAATTTCTCAATAGAAACAATTGGAAGCCAGAGGGCAGAGTAACATATATACATTTTAAAATTTATTTTTAACATCATTCTTCACTTTGTGCCTTTTTTCATCTCAGCTGTAATCCCCATGGATTTCCCACCACTAATTCATCCCTGTACCACCACCATAGTTCCCTGCATCTTTTTTTCCCACCCCATTTTTGATCCCATTTCCTACTCCACCCCCGTAAAATGTCTTTGGTATATAGTTGTTTGTTGTTTTTCATTTTTTCTTTATTATAATTGCTTTTTTTCCCCAGGGTAATTTTTTTTATGTGCTAAAAGAAAATAACTCCACTTAAGAATACCATACTTGGTTAAATTATCTTAAAAAAAATTAAAAATACTGTCAAACAAGTTTGGGATTTTTTTTTATTATAATAGTTTATTTTTACATCATTTCGTGCCTTTTCCCATCTCAGTTGTAATCCCCATGGACTTCCCAACACCAGTTAAGTTTGGGATTTTAATGGTACTATAACAACTGCTTCCTCTCTCCCAAAAAAGGATAATCTATAGACAAATGGACAAATTCATACATACAAATTTTAACAAGACTATATGACTAAGAAATAGAAATTATGAATAGATTTATAACTAGTAATGAAAGTGAATCAGTGTCCAAAAGCTTCCCAAAAAAGAAATCTTGATGACTTCCCTGGTAAATTCTAACACTAAAGAACAACTAATACTAATCCTTCTTAAACTTCTCCAACAATCGGATGAGGGAACACTTGCTAATTCATTCTGTGAGACCAACAAAACCTTGGTACAAAACAAGACAAAGACACTACGAGAAAACTACAAACCAATATCCCTTATGAACACTGGTGCAAAATTCCTCAACAAAATAGTCTCTAAAAGAATACAGTAGCATATTAAAAGGATTGCATACCATCACCATGGAATTTATACCTCGAAAGCAAGGATAGTTCAACATATAAAAATTGATTAATATAGGGCCCTCCCTGGTGGCGCAGTGGGTTAAAGCACAGCACTAAAAAGCTAAAGCCACTTTAGCATGAATTCGATGCCCGCCCAGGAGGTGATCTATATTGCGGGGCAGACCTCTCCTGACCTGCCTCAGTGGGATCCCCTTGTTGATCTGCCTGTTCTGCTCCCCACTCTGTCTCTGGTAAATCCTCTCACCCCCCTGCACCTCTGGCCTGTACTCCAAATATTTTTTTAAAAATTGATTAATATATACAGCACATCAACAAAATGAAGTGTGTGGGGGGGGAAATCCCCACATGATCATCTATCTCAATATGGCAGAAAAGGTTTGACAAAATTTAACACCATTTCATGGGGGGGGGGGAAAAGCCACAAAATAGGAATGCAAGGAAAGCATCTCAACATAATAAAAGCCATATGTGAAAACCCACACCAAATATCACATTTAATTGCCAAAGACTGAAAGCTTTTCATCTGAAATCAGGAATAAGATAATGCTGTCTACTGTTACTACTTCTATTCAACATAGTACTGGAAGTTCTAACCATGACAATTAGGCAAGGAACAAGGTATCCACACTGACAACTTAAAGCAAAACTTATCTCTGCTTGAAAATGCTTTGATCAAATATGTAGAGAACACTAAAACTACCCTCCCCCCAAAATGCCATAAGAACTAATGAATGAAGTTAGCATATTAGCAGGCTACAAAGTCAACATACAAAGATCAGTTGCATTTCTAAACAAAAACAATGAACACATCTGGAGAGGAAATTACAATTATACTTCCACTTGCAATGCCATCAAAATAATAAAATATTTAGGAAAACCTTAACCGAAGAGGTAAAGGCCCTGGCTCAATGAAAATGACAAAATACTGCGGAAGGAAATTAAGACCTTAATATATGGAAATATATTGGAATATGGAATATCCCATATTCATGTACATCCCATATTCATTGATACATAAATATATGCACCAATACACTGGTACATGTATGTACCAATAATATAGCTAAAATGTCACTATTATTCAAAGCAATCTACATACTGATGCCAATACGTATACTCCCTATCAAGATCCCAATGACACTTTGCAGAAATAGAAAAATTCACCCTAAAATTCATAGGGAATCTCAAGGGACTCTGAACAACCAAAACAATCTTGAAAAAGAACAAAATGAAGACTTACAGTTTTTGATTTCATAACATACCACACAATGCTACATTAGTTAAAACAGTGTGTTAACAGCATAAAAACAGACATACAGACAAATCAATAGAAAGCCTTCACACATATGGCCAAATGGCCAAGACCATTCAATGGGAAAAGTATAGTCTTTTGAAAAAGTATGGTGATGGGAAAATGGGATATTCATGAGCAAAATAATTAAGTTTGACCTTTACCTAGCAGCATATACAAAAGTTAACTCAAAATGGAAAAAGGACCTAAATATAAGACTAAAAAAAAAAACAAAACTCTTAAAAAAGGACCTTAATTTGATTTAGCAATGGTTTCTTGGATATGATACCAAAGACACAGGTAACAAAAGAAAAAGTAAAGTATTTCATGAAAATGTTTAAATTTTGCTCATCAAAAGACACTATCATCTACTGAGTAAAATGGCAGTCCACAGAGTAGGAGAAAATATTTGTAAATTATCTATAAGAGGTTAATATCCAGAATATACAGAGAACATTTAGAATTCAGGTAAGCCTTAAAATAAATAAAGACTGTGGGCCTTTACTGCAGCAGTTCTGCCACTTGTTGACCAAGTATCTTGTTCAAATACTTTGCTTTACAAGATGAAGAGTTACCGGGAGGCTGGTGGGAGTGGCTGCACAACATGAGTGTATTTAATACTCTGAAAGGCATGCAGTTGAAACCATAACCAAAGGCAGCATTGTGCTTCCAGAAAACTCTCTAAGAAAATATTGCAATCAACAGTAGAAGCTGTTGCAATGGGCTCTAGAGGAAGGGATGGAAGAGATTCAATCATTTAGTATGGAAGCTGGTGATAAAGTTCTCCCAGGGTAAGGATTAGCTCTCATTTAGAGATGGCTGGTATACAGCTATGCTATAGCAACATTATTTAAACAGGTGAAATCTGGTAGCAACCCATGTGCCCACTGAACAATGAATGGATAGACAAAATGTGGTATTAAGCAAATATATGTAATCTGAAAAATGCTACAATATGAATAAACTTTGAGGACATTCACTAAGTAAATAAGCCAGTCACAAAAAGATGAGCAAGTCATTATATAAGGTACCTAAAGTAGTCAAAATCATAAAGGCAGAAAGTAGAATGGTGGTTGTCAGGAGCTAGGTGAAAGAGAGAGCTGAAGAGTTAATAATCCGCAGTTTCTGCTTTGCAAGTTGAAGAGTGATGGGGAGGCTGGTAAGGGAAGCTGTGCAACATGAGTGTATTCAACAACCAGTGATCTATCTATACATTTAATAATGGTGACATCTGATGGTAAATTTTACGTTGTGTTTATTTTACCACAATTTTAAAAAAGGAAACAGAGACATAGGAAAAATCAAAATGAGTTAAGAAATTTAAAAAATTTTTAAATGTTAAGAAATTTTAAAAATCAACAAAATCAAATTGCTTCTTTGGAAAGATTAATAAAACTGATTAATAATGATTAATAAAATACATGCACAAAGAAAAAAGAATGTAATTATCCAAAACATTAAAAATATGATAATTTTTTTTTCAAAGATTTATTTATGCATACAGAACTGGGGTACAGAAAAATATGATAATTTTTACAGGTACAAATACAGATTAATATTTCTCTTTTTTTCAGCAGCACACAGCAAATATACTAAGAAAAAGGGAAAAAAGGAGATGTCAGTGTTGCATTTTATTTTATTGAAGATTTTTAAGAATTTATTTACGCATACAAGAACTGGGGTACAGGCCAGAAGTGCAGAGGATGAGAGGCTCTTCAGAGACAGAGTGGGGAGCAGACCAGGCAGACTGACAAAGTACACTGCTGAGGGGAGCAGCGGGAGAAACAGGAGAGGTCTCCTGTGCCATGTGGGTTGGGGATTTAACTTAGGCTGCAGTGGCTGCCAATAGCTTGATATAGTTGACTTTAACCCCTGTACAACCAGGGAGGACCCAGTGTTGCATTTTAAAAGAGCTGGTTTAAAAGAAAGAAAAAGGAAAGGAAAGGATATTTGCATGGGGGAAAATGACAGCTCTTAAAGGGCACGAAGCTACCCTTTGAAATGGGCAGGTTTATTAAGAAAGACGCCTTCATCGGTAGTCCTGGGGCAAAATCTGTCTTTATTTTACATACTCTTTCGGGTTTTTAAAATTTTCTTTAAAGTAAGATGTTTAAAAGTACCAACTCCATTATATGAAATATAGCTTAGTAAATTTACCTGGCAGCCAGAGAATAAATGGCATTGGCAGATGCAGAAGGTTTGATTTTGGGGTGCTCACACTCTGGACCTGCTAATGGGCTGCTATTCACATTCTGGAAAGAAAAGTATTAGAAAAAAACCTCTCTTATCACAGTCAAGTATCTCATTTATTTTAACCTATTAAACGTAACTATAACAATACTATAGACACAGACCTCATTCCCACATCCCAAACAATGCTTAATTCTTCTTTCAAAGGCTTATCTCAAATTCAACACATCCATACATGGCCAGGTTCAAAATCTAAGGGTTATATTTGTGTGTGTGTGGACATGTCACTTCACTAATTAAAAAAAAACTTCAAGATAATGGTGTGTGTGATTTCTTGTACCTAATTTGGCTGCCCCTTCCACTCATTGTCAATGCTTCTCTCTCCCCTTTACCTACTTAACACCAGCTATATTAAAACCCCATTTCTGTTTCCCAAATACATTCTCTCAGACTTGCTTTCCCCTTTCCCCTGGAATGATTTCCCCACAGAATCAGTATTACTTACGCTTTCTATTCCCCAGGTCTTTTGCTTAGAACTATACTCCACCCTCCGAACCCAACTCCAGCTCTCCCTACACCACTTTTCTGCACTTTCAGACCAAACACCTTATATGCCTTATTATCTTAGTTTCCATCTATCCCTTACCAGAATGTAAATTTTTTGAGGGCAAGATTTTTTTGTTGCATGCATAAAACTGAACCAACGAAAGAATAAATATACCTTCTTCTACCCTTGTTCTGGAGGTCGTTATCTTATATATATGAAAAGGAAGGCCAACCAGTCCTTATTGTAGCTCCAATCCATTCTGCATACTACTACTAGATTCATCTTTTAAACCATCATTTGGGTCATGTCACTTCACAAATTAAAAAACTTCAAATGCTCTTCAATTCCTATTAAATCAACTCCTATTCTTTTGGAAAGGGGTATTCAAGGTCCTCTATGCCAGTGCTAATGTTCCTATGTTCCTTCCTATTTAATCCTTTTCCTTACTCTGATACACAAAAATTCTGCTTCACTCAAATTAAACTACTTATTCCACAATCCACCTAACCATTTCTGTCACTGTAGCTCTAATTTATCTTAAAACTATATCCAGTTTGGAAAGAGTACTTCCAAGTCCTGATGCCACTCTTTCTACAAAGTCCTCATGACTGCTGTATGTGTAATTAATCTCCTCTTTCTCTATATGTCAAACACTTTAATCCATACTAATCGTGTCATTTCTACTACTACTACTACTACACACACTTTATTGTAAAACACACACATCTTATGACCTGTTCTATTAATAGATCAATTATTGCTATATTATCTTTGAATCTTGTACCAAACCGATCACAAAATTTTGAACCATTAAATGACATCTACAAATATTTGTGAACAAGCTAAATAATTTCAAAATCAGAACTTACCATAGAGGCATCCAGACTGAATGTGCTTCCGAGCCTAGACACATCTGTTCTGGGCTCGATTTGTGAGGGCAATGAAAATGGAAGTGAATGCCGGTTGGTTAATTCTCTTCCTGTCCAAGGGTCACTAGGGTTTGGGGCAACTACTGGTACTTTGGGGATTGGCCGAGACAGCCATGATTCCCCAAGGCGGCTAGAGGGGACAGGGGGCAGTTTGTCTCTAGATGGACAGTCACCAGGTGTACAGGGCAAGGGGCGTCTCTGAGGCCGGGTTTCTGTTCCACCAGAATATGGCCGGTCTGGAGGGGGTGGTGGTGGAAGATCTCGAAGTGTGGGAGGTATTGGTAAAGGTTTGTCCTTATGAAGAGACCCAGAAGTAGCCTGCGGAAGCATGATGGAAGCAAATCAATGAAAACCTACTAATTCACAGCAAAGAATTAAAAAGCTAGAAATGGATAATGCTTTACCTTAGAAGCAGTTCCAAGGCCAGAAGCACTTGAAGGAATAGACACTCGCTGCTGCAAAAGGTCAAGTCGTGGTGGCACTGGGGGAAGGGAAGCTTGTGGGGCCATGGAGAATGGAGATGGAGGCCGTTCCACCTAACACAGATAAAATTTCCTAATAGGTTATTCTTGTTTGGGTATATAGCATCATTCAACCTCTCCTAAAGCTGTAGATAGCAAAGACTATATGACACTGAATGTAATTACCCACTGGCCTTACTGGCTTTGGATAGCCTTTGCTGAATTATTTGTTACCATAAGAGGGCACTCTCAATCCCAGAAATAACACAGAGATGCAAGCTATGGCCAATAGCTGTGCACAACAGCTATAGAGGGCTCCTGAAATTTCTTTTTAAATGACATTAAATAGTTTTATTTCATGAAGCTAAAATGAAGTGTATTTATGATCCTTTATTTTAAATATGTAATTGCCCTTTTCTAACTTCTAAATGGTAAATTAACTTTCCTGTGATAATTCCTCTTATATAGGTTATGCTTTTTTTTTTTTAAAAGATTTTATTTATTTATACGGAACTGGTGTACAGGCCAGAGATGTGGAGGGTGAGAGAATTCACCAGAGACAGAGCAGGGAGCAGAGCAGGCAGATCTACGAAGTACACTGCTGAGGGGAGCAGCGGGCGGGTCAGGAGAGGTCTGCCGCGCCATGTGGTCACCTCCGGGGCAGGCGGGAATCGAACTCATGCGGAAGTGGCTTAAGCTTCTCAGCGCAGTGCTTTAACCCGCTGCGCCACCAGGGAGGGCCGGTTATGCTTTTTTTTTTAAGATTTCTTTTTATTTACACATAAAACAACTGGGGTGTAAGCCAGAGGTACAGGGGGTAAGAGGGTTCATAAGGGACAAAGTGGGAAGAAGAACAGGTAGACTGATGGAAATACATTGTTGAGGGGAGCAGCCAGCAAGACAGAAGAGGTCTGTTGTGCCATGTGGGCCACCTCCAGGGCAGGGATCGAATTTGCACTGAAGCAGCTGCAGCCAGTTTTGCAGTGCTGCGTCCCAACCCGTTGTGTCACCAGGGAGGGCCCCCTAGTTTACAATTTTTAAAAAAATTACAACCTTAGCCTCATCTTTTAGAGAAAGTGTTTTCAAGATTAAAATTGTAAATCTACATAAAAAAGAAAGGGGAAGACATTAATCTCTCAACATCACTTGGGAAAATTAATGCCTGGGTGCATAGCAAGGAAAGAGATCAAAGATGATAAATTTTCTGTGATTATGACAAAAAGAAAGAAATGAGATTTGTAAGAGGAAAATGCCCTAAACTAAAAAGCATCTTAAGTTCTTCTAAAGGAATGTTATTTCAATCCTGTAATTAAAAGAGATTAACATCTTCTGTCTCTCTGTATGTTTCCAAAAACAGGGGAATAAACCATAGTAACAGCTCAAATGTAACCTTTTCTATTTTCCTGCCTGTAGCTCAGTGCTGAATGCTCAGTAAGCTTATCCAAATAAACTGTGTTGAGATACATAGTAATTCATATAAATGCTACTTGGCATCTGTATTTCCTAATAGGGAGCAATAAAGATGAAAAATAGGCAAATAATCAAGTACTTATATAAGATGATTAAAATATCCATCTTCATACTTAGTGCTATCATTGGTGCTGGGTGGTGAGTGAGAGAAAAGCAAGCCCTCACCATTAGGTACTTATACTCATCATTAAGAAAATGGGCTTCAGGGCCTTCCCTGGTGGCACAGAAGGTTAAAGCCCAGCACTGAGAAGCTAAGCCACTTCAGCATGAGTTCAATCCCCACCCTGGAAGTGACCCACATAGCGTGGCAGACCTCTCCTGACCTGCCTGCTGCTCCTCTCAGCAGTGTACTTCATCATCAGTCGGCATGTTCTGTTCCCCTCTCTGTCTCTGGTGAATCCTCTCACCACCCCTGTCCTATGGCCTGTACCCCAGTTCTGTATGCATAAATAAATAAATCTTAAAAAAAGAAAAGTTTATTATTAAAAAAAATAGGCTCTATGTCAACTAAGCATGAGCTGCTTAGTACCTCAAGGGTTAAGACAGTGAAAAAGTGATTTGTGAAGCTAACTGTCACTTCATCATCAGAATCTAGGTCACTCACTGTATCCTGTTGATTTCTCCATAAAAACATTTCATAGTTGTATTTTCCTTTTCATTCTATTTATCAATCTCAAATTTATTAAAATCACCATCTTAGTGATTCTTCCAATTTTCGTTTCTCATCTCACCAAATCTTTTTGCTCACCATTACCAGCTAGCAGTCCTTAAATAATATCTCAAAAACCATCCATCTTAACAGTTAACTCCCACTGTCCTATGTCATAAAATCTCATACTCCCCCCTGGCTTTCACAAGTTTCTCTAATTAGTTCTCCCTAACTAACAGTATTTTCCATAACTCCCTGTTCTATAATTCCTACCTCCCTACCTTTATTCAAATTGTTTCCCACTTTGGAAGGGTCTCTGCCTATTCTGACTCCTGCTACCATCTATTCTCTTTCCCATTCAAGAGCAGGTTAAGCTAATTGTATTCCTCAATTTATGACTCAATATCATAACTGAATCCTGCAATGCTCTTTTACCTTAACCTACAATAAAGTTTCATAAAAGGAAAAAATACAAATGAAGATATTATCTAAGATATACGGAAGCATATTTACAAAACCTAAGGGACATAAAAATGCACACAGAAAGGGTTCACTGCATAGTTCAATGAAGGAAACTAAGACCATAACTGACTGACAAAGCAAAAAAAATCCTTAATTTTTCAGGGAACCAAGTCTAAGGAAACTATTTTAAAAGCTTCTGGGGCACCAAATAGCAAAAAATACCTTAGAAACTAGAAGTCAGTGAAGCTAACTTCTACAACTTCCTACAACTACCCAGCAATTTGAGGATTTGAATGAAAACATTTCCAAATATCAAATGTTTCAAAACTATATCTTTCACCTTTTCAGAAAAAGCTATTTTGAGGACATGTTGCATCTAAACAAAGAAGTAAAGTAAAACAGAGCAAAACATGGAGCCAAGAAATACGTAATCCAACAGAGAGGAGAGGCAGTGAAGTCCCATGATGATGGCACAGGGAGAGCGCCGGGTGATGGGGACAAGCACACTTAGAGAATAACCAGTCCAGGCTGGAGCCAAACACACAACTCTTGCATACAGGAGTACACTGTGTTATATATACACTGCCTACCATATTAATAAAGGAACAGAATTTATTTCATAGAAAATTTATATTGAGAGGATACTTAAAATGTAGGAAATAGAAATAAATCCCAGGAAAAGCAGAAGGTTGAATTAGAAAGCAAAAGTAATTCTATTATTGTATGTAACCTGGCACAGTAGGAAGCAAAAACATTTAAATACTGGATAGTAATTTAGCCAAAACGTATTCAAATAACAATAAGGGAAGGAGATGGAGTCGAAAGGAGGAAAATAATAGATCTAAATCTGTTCTTTAATACTTTAAGTGTGCAGATAACTAATACTGAAGAAAGCCCAGCTTAAGGAACAGTTTTATGAACTGAAGAGTGTGAATGGGGCACAGAGAGGAGCTGGAGTGGTAAAGGCAGGGAACTGATATTTCTATAGGCCCTTTAGCCAAGTCTCTTGAACTTTAAAACTGTCATGTGCATTTACTACCTGAATTTTTAGAAAAAAAGTTTCCCTATATTAAAAAACAACAACAAAGAGTCACCATGATGTGATGAAACAAACACTCATCGTTTCATAGGTCTTTGAGAGTGATTTAGATAAAAAAAATTAGTGTCTACACAGAAATAGATATACTTTTACTCAAATATTTTATTCACAGAGAGTAGAGAACTGAAATATAAAGTATGAAGAAAAATGAAATAAAACACCCATTTACCTACCTACCACTCAGATATGAAATAAAATACTACTCATCTTGGCCCTCCCTGGTGGCGCAGCGGGTTAAAGACCTGCACTAAGAAACTAAAGCCACTTCCGCATGAGTTTGATCCCCGCCTGCTCTGGAGGTGACCCACATGGCGCGGCAGACCTCTCCTGACCCGCCCGCTGCTCCCCTCAGCAGTGTACTTCATCCATCTGCCTGTTCTGCTCCCAACTCTGTCCCTGGTGAATCCTCTCACCTCCGTATCTCAGGCCTATACCCCAGTTCTGTATGAATAAATAAATAAATCTTTTTTTAAAAAAAATACTACTCATCTTTGCAAAATTCCTATGTGCCCCTCTCCTAATTATGCCCTTCACCAATATCAAAGAATATAATGCACATACTCTTTTATCAAGCAGTTCTACCACTAGAAATTTACCCTACCTATAGACTTGCAAAAGAATGCCAATATGTGTAAGCTGGAAAGCAACATAAATGTAATTTATGTTGTAATTTACTTAATCATTAATAAAAGATTAAGTAAATTACAGAATAACCAAGTGATGATAAAATACATGAAGCTGTCTTTTCTCTATATGAATTTTTACAATGTATTTATTACTTTTATTTAAATGAATAAATTTAATACATCATATATATCAGCTTGGAAAAAAAGTGTTGATTTACTTTTCCTCTCTAAAGTCCTATAGCACTAAAGGAAACTACCCAGTATTTTAAAACAATGTGTGTTCTAAAAAAGTATTCTAATTTCAAATGAATATATACATTTGAAATTAAAATAAATACATACGTTTGAAATTATTATTCAGTTTCCCTAATATTCCAAGAATTTCCATGAATAAGCAAATAGCAATCCATATTAGAACATAAAATTGCTCTAAAGGTAAAGCAGTATCTTACAATGGAACCAAAGACTCTGTTATGATTACTGTCAACTTCAAAAACCAAAAATGTACCAATCAGCTAGTATTTATTTCCTCAACAATCCATTTTGATATATTATAGACCAACTTATCAATTCCACTTTTGAAGTGTTTTCAATTGCCAGCCAACATTCCAAGTAATTATATATGCTCAAATTTGAGTAACTATTTACAAATAATATGGCTCTTGCCTTCTAGGAACTCATATTACAAAGAGAAGTACCTGTGATAAAATATTACAAGGTTATAAGTTCTATGGCAGATAGACACTGGGTTTCAGAAACACCTGGGTAGATCTAAATTATATGAACAGACTGTTCCAGTTTCCCAACATATTTAGAGTGTGAGCTATGGGTGAAAAAAGGTTTCCAGGAAATGCAAATTAAATAGGAACTACAACGACAAAAGCATGGAGAAATTTTTAGTGAATTGTTCTTGCGGGACCACAAAATATAATATGGAAGGAAGGAGAAATGCACTTAATCCACTAAGTAAACAGAGTCAGCAAAGTGTGTGAAGCAAAGGAATGCAGTGAGCAGATTTATACTGGAGATCAAACACTGTGGCAGAACAGATGATAAAGCCTGAAACATGGTAGAGGCACTGAGGACAAGAGGAGAAATGTTCAGTAAGGATATTAATGTCTATTCTTAGAGTTACATGAGTATAGGATTATGGAAGTCAAAATAAGCAAAGTGCGTATCTCTTACATACCAAATGCATATTAGTCCTTATCATTCTTTGTAGTTTGAATGCCAATAAATTCTCTACTACTTTGAACAGAACTCATAATGGATTTTGTTCAGTCTTTTAAACTACAGTTTTACCTTGGCACCAGCTAATTCCTTCATCATGAAGAGAGAATCATCAGCTCGTTCATCATCATCATCATCATAATTTGGGGAGGGAGCTCCCTCTGCTCCTTGCCTCAACAGGCTGCCATTTCCCCTAGGATCAAATGGATCAACCACAATGGGCTCAGTACCTTTAATTTCACATCGGCAGAATGGACAGCCCTGGCCTTCTGATTCCTGGATAGGAAACAGGAGATAACAGACACATATGAGAGTTAAAATATCAGTCCATGAGAAAATACCTTTCCTACAGATGAAAAAGTAATCCAAAGTTTAAAACCTAGCCCACATACCAGGCTGTCCTATATATCTGTAAAGGATATACAAACTCCAGTTCTTCAGAGTGCTTTCCTAACTGAGAAAATGTATGGTTTGGATCCATACCTGCCAGGACGTAAGACAGGATGTGCACATGAGGTGTCCACAGGGCTCAATCTTTACGTCTTTATCATTTTCAGCACATATTTTACATAGTTGGAATGTGGAGCCCATCTCACAGTATAATTCATATTGTTCCTTTGATTAAAAAATAGTATTAAAAGGTTACTCAGCTTCTTGCAGATTATTTGTTTAGTGAATGATACCTTAAATACTAAAGACAAGGAAAATGAAAACTTACTCTCAATACAAATGTTTTTATGAAAGTATCACAACAGTGATTATATTATCTTAATAAGCTAGAAAGTACCTGCTACTGGTTCTATTTTAAGTTGCATGATTTAAAGAAAAAATGGAATACATAAATTAGCTAATCTAGTATCATTCTGTCAGTTCTATAAAGTATATACAAAAATTTGGTCTAGTGATATGGTTATAAAGTAAAATAAAACTCACCTGGGTCACTTTGATGTGGTCTTGGGGGGTTGGTTCACATAAACCTGTCAGGTCAGGATTCTGATTCCGTCCATCAGGAAACAAATAGCTATACAAAGAGTAACAAGCCAATTTATCACGACTTGCTAATACAGACAAATGAGATCTAAGAATTCCCTCATTCGAAAGGGTAATTTTTTGTTAGTGCAAAGATAAACCCCACTAATAATTCAAGAAAAATAAATAACAGAAAGTTCCAAGAAGATACTCTCCAAACACTGCTATTTTTCATCCAGGGCACAATGCTACAAGTTCTACCTTTTAATCAAGGGGTTGACAAACTTTTTCTATAAAAAGCCATATAGTAAAAATTTAGGCATTGAGGGCCCTCCCTGGTGGCGCAACGATTAAAGCACAGCATTATGAAGCTATTGCAGACACTGCAGCATGAGTTCGATCCTCAGCCAGAGAGGTGATCCACATGGAACAGGAGACCTCTTCTGACCTACCTGCTGCTCCCTTCAGCAGAGTATTTCAG